AATGGTGGGGGCTTCCCCTTAGGAAAACCAGAGCTGCACTGCCCAGGGCAGGGCCTCCAGCTCTTGGGAAGGGCCTAGGAGGTTCCTATTACAGGATGTGGCAGTCACAGAGCCCAGGGAATAAAGGTGTGTGTGGGGCTGTGGAGGATAGCAGGCTGGGGAGAGGCGGGGGCTCTGGGTGGCCACCTGGCGGCCATTTCCCCAGCCTTATCTTATGCATCATGTAGGCCCTGTCTCTGCAGCAACAGGCCTAGGGCCCAGCCCCCAATGTCCCCCAGTAGCTGTGTAACTCTGGGCACATTACTTTCCCTCCTGAGTCTCACTTTTCATGCCTACAAATTGGGACTAGTACTTCTACTTAGTTCTTTGAGATGTTGTGGCGATTCACTGGGGCAACTCACGTTGATGTCAGACAGGGACCGGGACATGGGAGGGCTCCAGGAAACTTACTGATATTCATTTTTATTCCCATTATGGATAAGAAAAATGGGATGCAGAGAGGTTCAGTGATTTACTCAAGGTCCCCTTGCATGTATGTGGCAAAACCAGGGGTTATAATCAGGGCTCAGAGAGGGGGCTGACCGGGGCCCTCACAAACCCCCCACAAGTGAAAGGGAAATTCACTATTACTGTGAAGTGCTACTAAGAGATCCAGAACCCTCACCCCCCATCAGAGAGCTACACAACAGTCCTCTGAGCTGGGGGTTGTGATGTCGCCACTGTCAGCAGCACAGCCGCTGTGTCAGCATTGGCTCCTGCCTTAAAGTCAGTCGTAGAATCATGGATTTTGGTTAGAAGATACTTTGTTTTACTTTAATTTTTAAAATGATGGCTAGTGAGATTCAAAAAGACACCTGTTCATTGCTGCTTTATTTACAATTGGAAAGACATGGAATCAACCCAAATGCCCAAAAGTAGATGACTGGATTAAAAAGATGTGGTACATAGACACAATGGAATATTACTCAGCAATAAAAAAGATAAACTCATGACTTTGGCAGTAACATGGATGGAGCTGGAAGGGATCATGCTTAGTGAAATAAGCCAGAAAGCAAAAGAAGAAATACCAGATGATTTCACTTGTAGCAGGAGCATAAAGGACCAGGGGGAAAAAATAATAATGAAAAACTATATACCAGAGACATTTTATGGGGGTGGAGTGAGGAATGGGATCAAAAATGGTGTGTGTGTGGGGATGCATGGAACTATGGTGATGGCACATGGATGAACTGGTGATAGGAAGTCCACGGGGTTTATAATTGAGATGGAAAAAGGCACAAAATGAGGTAAAAAAAACTATTATAATAAAAAAATGATGACTAGTGACTTAGAGTTGGTTGATAATTCTTCTGTTTCATGGGTATAGATTTTCAGGGGTGTAGATTCACACCTCTATAGATGCAAGTGGCTATACCCCCACCTGCACCCAGCCCAAAGTCCTGCACCACAGTCCATTGGGTTGCCTTCATTTTCTTTCAGTTGGGTCTAACACGCCAAGAGCCCTCCTCCTCCTGCCTGAGGCAGAGAAAGTCTCTGGGCTTAGTTTCCTTATCCAACTCGGGGAGCCTGTGTAGGAAGCCAGTGGACACATGGATGTCCTTCCTTTCCACAATCTCACCTCTAAAAAGGACAGAAGGGAAGAGTTTGGCTGGATTCTGTTTACCTCATTGACTGGCTGATAGATGGAAGATTCCTGGGTCGTCTCCATAAAAGAGAGACCCTGGGAAGGGCACAGCAAGGTGAAAGATACCATTACATGTGTCCACGGATCCGGGTGTAAAAACCAAGAGCAAGGTCATGTCTTGGCCCCTCCTTGTCTTCTTGATGGAAGCCATAGATGGGAGAAACTTCTAGATGGGAGAAGCTCATTCCCAGCAGTCTTTTCAGGCTGTGAGCTTGTCCTATGCCAGTTTTTGCTGAATTTAAATAATGACTTTTCCCAAAATGCACACCCACCCCTTCCTCCAAGGCCCCTCACATGAATGAAGGGCTCTGTGTGCTGGACCAGGCCCAGGGTCTGGAGAACACGGACTCTATTGTCTGTGCTGAGCTAGGTGACTTTAGGGAGGCCAGGGAGACAGTGGCACTTGTGGGATGTCCAAGCAGGAAGGAATTCAGTGATAAGGCCAATATCCTAGAGGCCAGAGAACAATAGTGACGCAGTCATTGCCCAAGATGTCATTGTCTGAACCCCTCCCAGGTGCCAGGAACAATCTCTCTCCTTTCATCCTCACCACAGCCCTCCAAGGAGGCAACTGTGATTCTCCTCAGTGTATAAAAAGGTAATTGAGGCCCACAGAACTCCAGTTGTCCCATAGAGTCACACTGCTCAGAGTCCTGGACCCGCCATACTGCCAGGATGCAGAATAAGCATGTCCCCACCAAGGAGGCTGTCCTCCTAGAGGCGGTCTTGAGGCTGACTGACATGGGAGGCAAGCGCAGAGTGGCACTTTTTCCCTGAGGCCCAGGGAGGTGGCCTGGGCCTTGGGCCTTGTCCATCGGAGGTCTGGTATGGCCCAGATGTGGCTAGGAATGTGACCCAGCTGGGACTGAGAGGCTCACCCCTAAGACTACCAGGGGCAAAATGTCTCCTGGCTTGAGACATAAATACACTCTAGACTGCAGGAGTCACAGAAAGTGATTTTATTGCAGAGAGAGATGGTGTACGGGGCACATCCCACTGGAGCCCAGCCTGCCCTGAACCGTCACCTCCATTCCTCACTGGGAGAGAATGGTGGTCCAGGGTTCTACGACGAGACAGAGGTGACCACAAGGGCATCCTGGAACGGGAGGAGCAGGTCATAATGCTTTCTCTGTTTTCACCTTATCCCTTTTTGTGGTCTATGCTGGTTTGTCCTCCCCAAGGTGACCACTGGCATTGGGGGCTATGACCTTGAACTCACTCACCCTGAACTCTCAGGGGTGTCTGTGTGTGACCAGTGCGCCGTGTAGGGGCCAGGGGCACCTGTAAGGCTTGTGGGTGAGCCTTTGTGACGGTGTGGGACAGTGGTCCCAAGCCCAGCCAATCTGCAACGCTCCCCAGTTTCACAGTCCCGTGCTGGGACTGGTGACAGGTGGACAGAGGCTTTCCAGGCTGTATCCATAAGGGTCCAGTCTGCTAAATTCTCAACAGCCCTATGCTACTGTTTTCGAGTCTAAATTTAATATGACCACTTCACCTATTAGACTTGTCCTAATACTTCATCATGATAATTTTCAAACAGACAGCAGAGGTAGAAAGAATTTCTCAGTGACACTTATACTTGTGACCTAGATTCCACTACTAGCTTTTTTAGACCATGCTTTCTGTTTCATATCTATTTATTTATTTTTGATAAGATTTTAAAGCATGTTATACAGTAGAAAAAGGAAGCTGACCTACTGCTCATCTAAAACAAATGAATAGAGTGAAACAGGACATTTGGAAATAGATCCAAAGAGTGAAATAATCTCTCCAACCCAACTTGGAGTGGTTGGTTATGTTACGCAAGTAGTTTAAAAAAGTAACAATAGACCCCGACAGAAACGGGCCAAATCTCCTCTAATAAGAGTTCCATGCAGCAAATCAAATGCTAGCCATTAGCCGTGCGTCAGAGGACTCGGGGCAGTGTGTCTTACATCAGCTGCCCCTTGTGAGTGGGTCCCCATAGACTGCTGCCCACGGGGGCCGGGCTCTTAGCCCACTCACCTTGGTCAGGAAGCAAGTCATTTCCTTAAGTCCTAAGGCTTTTACCATGGACACAGGAACCCCAGCTTTCAATTTGCCTGAAATACAAATGTAGTTAGAGGTGGCAGGGCTGGGTGGGACTGGGTAGCTGTGGGCAGGCTCAGAGCAGACCCCAGGACTCACAGGCCTGGTTTGGACCCTCCATTTCATCTCTGCCCACCTGTCACCAGTCCCAGCACGGACCCAGTCTCAGTCTGCATCTCTTACATCTACTGCTGGTTTTAGGGTCCTCCCAAAGGGCACCCCACACCTCCACCCACACTCTTTCTCAAGAACTCTCAGGGGCTCCCACTGTCCACAGCAGAAGTATGTATGATTTGAGATTCTCAATTGAATAAAATAAGAAAGTTGAGGTTAGCATAGGTCACCACGTTCCCCACCTAGGAATCCTCCCTGGGAACCCTCCAGCTGGGGTTCCTCAGTCGCTCCTCCCTTTCTCTTTGCTTCCTCCACTAGTAACAAACGACGGGTCATGTGAGCAGCGGTGGAGACCTGGAGGCAGTGACTGCGAAGCCCTCCTTCCGCCCTACAGGTCACCTTCGTGCCTCTGATGAAGCTGCTCTTACTTCCCCGTCCTGCCGATGGACACTGCGGCCTGGGGTGATGGGGCGGCTTGTTCCAGTCCAGGCAGCTGCCAGGAGGGGACCTGGGACCTGGCGCACACTGAACTGGCTGTGTGTGTGCACCCCAGTCTCCTGCCCTCAGTCTGTGAGACGGGCGCCTTGCCCGGCTCATTTGTCCACATCTGGGCTCTGGCACCAGCGAAGGACCTGGCTTGGAAGTTGGAGCAGGAGGTCATAGCTGAGGGGGCGACCAGGTGGCTTTTGAACTAGGGTTGATATGTGGAAAACGAATGGGAGATGCAGGCAGGAGGGGAAAGGGCCCCAGCCTCCTGCCCAGGGATGGGAGGTTCAGAAAGGGACTCACCATTCTCATGGGGCAGCAGGACAGTGACGAGGATCTCGGTGGTGATGTCTTTCAGAAGCTCAGGCTGTGAGAGAGAAGGGGTGTGCTGGAGTTCTCCAGCCCCTCTGTGGGTGAGCACAGCTGGACCTCAGGACAGGCTGGATCCCAGGTGTGCTGCAGCTTAGATCTGCAAGGTCTCCAGGACCAGGCAGGCTGGAGAAGGCCCACACAGCTGGCCCCATGTCCAGGATGTGGGGGTGTCCTGGAGGGATGCACCCCTGCTCCCACCGCACCCCTAGGGCTCTACTGCTCTATCCCAGCAGAATTTCCCCTGAGGAAACTGGACCCTGTGTTTGCTACTTCTGTCTTTCCAAGGGAAGCTAGAAATCCTGACTTGGAAGCAGAAACCTCCCCCCTAAAAAATATTAGTAAAAAAAACCAAATTAACCAATCAAGATGTAAGGACCCAAGCTCAAACAAATAAACACCATGTCAGAAGATTCAGCCAGTGTGAGATCTCTGACTCGGTCTGTCTCAGATGAGACACTGAGGACCAGAGTGAAGGGGCTGCTCAAGGTCACCCAGGTGAAGCTATGTGAGCAAACTCAGATGGCAAAGAGTTTTGTTTTCCAATTTGGGGTCCTGTCATCACAGAAGGGAAATGCGTGTGTAGCTGTGTGTTTGCAGCTGTGTCCAGCATGCGGAAGGTGCTTAGTAAATGCTCGCATCAGTAGGTTGGACTTCTCAGGTGATAACATGGAAGTCAGCCGGGCCCCAGAGGGCTGCCCAAGGGAACCCTGTTCAAGGTAAACCTTGGCCAATGTCTCCTTTTGAGAGGTGCGATGGGACAGGGTGCCCCCAGGAACGCCTGTCAGTACTCACGTTGAACAGGCCAAGGCCAGAGTTCAACAGGTGTATCCGATCACAGCTGCAACAGAAGATGCACGTGAGAAGGCCCCTTGGGGTATCATCCATTGATTCAATGACCATTTACTGAGCACCTATGTGCCAGGTACAGGGCAGGCTCTATAGGTAAAGCTGTGAACCACATAAAATTCTTGCTTCATGAAGCTTACATTATAATGGGCCTGGATGTGGTGTGGCAGGGGGTGAGGTTGGCAGTGGTGACACAGAAAACAAGTAGTTGTCTGGAGAGTAGATAAACCACCCCAGGACTGGAATCATGGTGAACCTAGGAGCTCAGTCTCCTTTTAAAGAGGTACCCACATCACAGCTAGTGAGGGTTGCCATGTCGAGACTGGCAGGGCTGTGGAGACCAGTCATTCTCATTTTTATAAGCTGGTGACCAATTTCTGTTAATGCAACACCTAACTCTAATGGCTGATTCAAACAAGTCTCTGGACTGGACTTTCCCAGGAGGGCAGCTGGGCTGGCAGCCTCTGGCTGGGCCCCACGGGGATGACAATCACCACTGCTGTCTTGGAGGTGTTGAGAGGGCCTGCCCAAGGCCAGGGAAAGTTGTCAGGGGATTGCTGCAAGGCAATCTCCCTGTCCTCTTTGGGCTCAGAACAGAGCAGCCAGGCCTAGATGCCCTGGAGCAAGCTTGCTTGCCGCTCACGCCCCAGAAGCTCAAAACACTGGCTCTTCCCAGAGCCCCTGTGCCACGGGCAAGACTCTTCCCTAGGATCCCTGCCACGATTAACATGCTTACCGGATATTATTCACTTTGAGTATAACTTGATCACCTTCCATGGAAAAGTGAGCGTCTGAGCTGGCTTCCTGAAACAAAAGCCCAGGCCCCACATCTTAGAGGATGCTAAGTGGGGTGAGGTTCTATAAGGAGTCTCTGGGATTCAGCAGACACCGTCGGGGTCTTAACTACTGGTGCTGTGACGGTAGGGAAGGTGATTCTGCAGATTTCACTGATCTCTATCCAATGATGCGGCACCCAGTCCCACACGGGACTTCTGTAGGAAAGGAGCATAGCACCAGTGTGCATGGAGCTGTCACCTGGTGCCAGACGGTGTTTCAAAACTGCGCTGACTCCCTCCTTTGATCCTGTGATGCACCTTCTATTATCCCCTATGACAGAGGTGTGGGTTCCTGGGGACAGAGAGCATAGGCCCCTGCCAATTTTTAACCATTGTTATTATCAGAAGCTAAGTCAGGTCTCCAAGACATCATCTTGACCTGTGGACTGGTCTGGGCTGGGGACAGGGACAGACTGCCAGGGCATGAGAATAGCCTTCCGCCAGGAAGCCCAGCGTCCTTCACTCCATAGTCTCTGTGAATGGTATCTCGAGAATGTGAGTGGACAGGCTGCCCAGCTGTACAGAGGTCCTGCACTGAGGGTAGGGTCAAGATCACCCTCTGGCAACGCTGGGCATGCTGGCCTTCTTGGTGAGGCAGGGCCCCCATTTCCAACCATCCTGCCTGGCCACTCTCCTCTCGGCCCTGTGCAGGGCAGGTGTTGGTTCCCCCTCAGATCCCCTCTATAGGGTGGGGCAGCCACCTCAGTGAACATTCCCTCCGGCCCTTTCTCTGGTACATCGTCTTGGCTTGGACACAGCTGCCTTGCTGGGAAGTTATTTCCCCTCTGCCCTGGACACCCATGTTGCCACAATTGACTGGCCAAAGGGTAAAAAGACCCAAAGGACCCATAAGGTCACAGGCCAGAACAGGGCCCCCAAAATTCCTGACTTGGTGTAATCTCCTCCCCACCCCTGCTGGGTGACAAGAACAGTAGAAACATTTAGCAAAGCAAGAGGGGCGAGCAGGTGCAGGAACTGGGAAGGCTTCTCAGATGGCTGCCAGAGCCGGAGGCAATTGACTCACGATGCCCAGGGTGAAGAAGGGGCGGCGGATTTGGTTGGTGGCGTACACTTCCAGCATTATCAGTTGGGCCACTGTGGCTCTGCCCTGGTTCAGAATGAGCTCCGGGGTCTTATGACTATAGACCTTCACGACCTGTGTGTGCTCCAGCTGATTTGCAGCCTGAAAGGACAGGGGACCCTCTGATGACCTTGCAAGTATTTCAGCGTGGCCCCTCACCCCCATGTGGCCCCACGTGGCCCTCCTGGCTGGCCCCTGCCACCGCCCCACCCACCCACTTCCTTGCTTCCTTGCTGTGCTCCAGTCACGTTGTCCCCTTCCAGACTAGACTGTTGGTCTCCACCTCATCAGCTGCAGTTTTGCTTTTCACCCCGTCTGGAATGCTCTTCCCTGCAGGGGAGCCCCTTGCCCCCAATTTGGGCTATGCCAGCTGGTCTGTCACCCCTGTCCTTTGCAGCTGAAGTATTATCTGTGAATTACGGTCGAACAGTCCTATTGTACTGAAATCTGGGACCTGGCCTGTAGGAGTCTCTGTGCAGGAAGGCAGAAAGGTGGTCCCAGTGGACAGGCCACAGCAGCCACCCTCCAAGCTGCAGATGGCAGGTGGACCCACCTTTTCGTTGATCAACTTGATGCTCGATTTCAGCCAGAGAGCTAGCTCAGGAAACTGAGGAGAGGAAGCCAGAGCAGGTCACTGGAGGGGAGAGGGAAGAGATGCCTCCAGCAGCCCCACTGGGATCCCCAGAACCCTGGAAAATCTGAGTGGGCCCAGCAGTCCAGGCCACGTTTTTCCCTGGGAGAACAAAGGCACCTTTGTTTAGTCCTGTGTCCATTACAGGACTATCAGTCTGGAGTCTCTGCTGGTCTGGACTTTTTTTGGGGGGTTGTCGTTCCTGGTGAGACTACAGGCAGCTAGCTTCCTGCTCCCAGAGGACAGACGTGAGCCTATTCTTACAATCGTTGTGAGTGTGCTTGCTGTCCACCATTCCCATTTCCTCACCATCCAGCCCCTTATCCTGAGTTCCAGTCCTCAAGAGCTTGCTATCTGTCTGAAGTCCTGACACCCTCCTATAACTTTGTGCCAACATGCCCCACTCCTGGACCTCAATTTCTGCACCAGCTACCATGGTGGAGGTGGCATGGGCTAGTTGACTGGAGACTGTTTTCTGCTGTGGCGAGTTGAGAAGAATTTCAAGGCTGTGTTGGCATCTAGGTTCAAGAGGAAAGAGGGCCCTGATTGATTAGTGATGTCTGTCATGGTCCTGGTAGTGGAGACCAGTGGCTGAGCTGCCATTCCCAGACCATTCATTACCTGATGCCCTCTGACAGGACTGTTATTTAATAGAGGAAGCAGGTTGTCAGGTTCCCAAGGCAGAACTAGGGCTGGGGCTGGGTGTTATGGGGACTTTTTTCTTTAGGGTTATATGTTAGGAGAGAGAGTGAGCTCTCCATGGTGGAGACTGACAAAGGATTCATGCTTGAGGCCTTATGCATCCCCGGGTCCCCTTTGATTCAGGAAATTCCCACAATGCAGCCTGTGTCACAGGCTGAGGGTTACCATGTAGTCGAACAGGACCATGACTTCTTCTGGAGGAATTAAGACAGCTACCGCAGCATTCAACAAATCTTGCCTCACAGTGAGGCTGACACGGGCGTTGTTCACAGCAGGCATTGTCATGGAAGGTGCAGACTCATTGAACTGCTTGGTCACCTTTCCTTGAGAGTCCAACATCTTGGCCTAAGGAGACAAGTGGGTAGTTATCCGGGAGCTCTAGTGCTACAGCTTTGCCAATAACAGTCTGTATTGAAATGGATTCCCTTTTTGCATTTTCTGTCTGGATGCTTAGCCTGGAGTTTAGTGGCTTACCATAGGTGGAAAGTTATCTCAGGTTCCTAGCAGGTTCCTGATACTCCAACTACTTACCTCAGAGAATCCCTAAATTTTTTTTTTAAACTTAGAAATCTCATTTGATATTTAGGATCAACTTCTCAGCTACCTCATAAACTCTCTGGGTAAAGGGGAAATTAACAAGGACGACAAAAGGAATGGAAATGTTAAATACTGCAGTTTTCCAAGGGATTCCTACGTGCGGCTGGCTCCTTAGGGAGTCCAACTCCAGTGTGAGGGTGAGTGTCACATTTTACCGAGAACAACTAGGCTTTTCCTGCCTGTCAGGTCCCATGCAGTCTCATTTCAGACTTTCCTTGGTGGCTTTTATAGACAACATTTTACAGAAGGAGAAGATGAGGCTCAGAGAGGTAAAGAAACTTCCCCAAAGCCACACAGCCAGGGAACTGTAGAGCTGGAAGAGAATCTCAATGATGTGGCTTAATTCTGGGTTCCTGTTTCAAAGTACCCAGATACCTGAGCCCTGGCAGGGGTTTGCTTGAGAGAAAGATCAAGAGCTCCCATGAACATACTCTGGCCCCAGACTGAGAAGTCAGAGTTACTGGGGTCAGTGTTCTGTGAGTGGCCTTTAGATTTCACATGTGTTCTTTCTCTGAATGGTTTACATGAGGCAGGCAGCCTGTTGAAATGGTCCTAAATATCCTGTGTCCTAACTGCTGTTAGGGAAAACTGCTGTTTTCTTCCCCAAAACAGGCCCATGGAATGTGAGCCTTGTTGGTCAGAGAGGGCAGTGATGTCCACATTTAGCTCTCCAGGCACCATGACACTCACCTTCATGTTGAGCTGGACACTGTTACCCTTGATGGCAGGAGACAGAAGGTCAAACTCTAGGTGGTTAGACATGACCGCAACGGGTGCTGCTCAGGGAGAAGAAAGTTCTTTGAGGCCAGATGACAGTATTGCATAGGGTGGCTTGGGGCTGACCTTAGACTGGAGTTGCATTATCGCAGGGGAGGGGATGAAGATGACACTGATAATGACAACGAGGAGGTGATGGAGGTGATGACTGGTAATGACTGAGTGCAGATCAAGTCCCAAGGACTGTGCTAACCTTCACACATGCTACCTCACTGAGTCCTCTAAATGATTTAAGGAAGTCAGTCCCATGAAGACCCGCATTTTACAGATGGGGAAACTGAGGCTCAGAGTGTGAAATGACATGTCAAGGTCATACCATGGAAGGATCTGAATCATAGTTGTCCTATGGCAAATTTCTGCTTGGAACAAAACTGTACCACCGCTTACACTTGCCCTCCCCAACCAGAGTGTGATGGTGCAACCTCCACCCTGCAGGCCCTGGGTCTGGCTACTAGATCTGTTAGCTGCTGGATTCCTCACTTGACCGCCAGGTGGCAATAGCCCAAGGCAGAAGACAGCAAGAATGACAAAGGAAAAGCTCAGGGAGTGAGCAGGGAGTGGGGCACAGGCTGAACCCGCTACCCAGGGAGAACTCTCACACTGCCCCTGGGAAGCAGACAAGCCAGCTAGACATCCCTCTGAGTTGCAGGTGCCAGGGCTAGTTTCTTGACCCTCTGACTCTCTGGTTGTCAACTTAAAATTCAGCATCACAGTGTAACACCTGCCTCTTCGGTTGTACAGGTTGTGATAGATGAAGCCTGGTAATGTTGGCTCAAATCTGAGTCACACCAATCCTACAATTCAAAGAAGTGGGTTTGTGCCTTCTATTGCTAATGCCTGTGTGAAGCTGGACAAATGACTTAATTTCTCTGAGCTTCCATTTCTTTATCTGTGAGGTGGGGTAACGACCACCCTGGTCAGCCCATATGCATCTGTCTGAGGGTCAGGGAGACAGTGTTTACAAAACACAGGCCAAGGGCTTGCCCAGAGCAGCAGTGCAGGGAGCTCCATGCCTATCCATGCCACTCCCTCTCCCATTCTTCTCTGGCGGCCCTTAATGAACCTCTTCACAGCCCCAAAGGCCAGGTGGTAGAGTGCACATCTCCCCACCAATCTCCCCCATCTCCACTCTGAGGGGTGTGAGCATACAGCTCTCCTCCCTTGTTTCCCTTTTTCTAATCATCCATCCATCCGTCCGTCCGTCCGTCCTTCCATCCATCCAGCACACATTTGTAAGCATTTCTCTGTGCCAGGCACAACACCTGCTATATGTCTGGAACTTTCCTGGAAACTCTTACTCTCACCAAAAATCTTGTGAAATAGGGATGTATAAGCCACCTTTACAGATGGGGGATCCGAGGACAAGGAGATGGAGTCAGCTTTCTCGAAAGCATGGACTAAGTCAGTGGCAGAGCTGGAAGCTGAAGTTGGGCTTATCCGCACCTGCTGGCTCACACAGAAGCCACAGTCTGATGACTTCTGTTTGCTCCTACTGGGTGGGTATCAACTGATGTTTGACCTGCTTGCTGGTTTGTGTTGTTCTGGATTGAAACCTCCCTGGAGGCTGGCTCAGCTTTATAGGAAACAAAAGCAGCAGACTTACCCTTCACCAGCCCCAGCAGGTCGTTCTGCATGTCCTCAAAGGCTTCGTTGATCACAGGACACAGCTGCAATAGAACAGTTGTATAGTCTCCATCGGCCAGGGCAGGCACGCCCCACTGTGGCCAGTGTCCAGTCTGCCTAGCCTGAGTTCTGTGCTGCACTCAGCCCAGCTGGCTTTTCTACTATGGGCTGAGGACTCACAACCCCAGCCATCATGGGTGCTCAGAGATCCCAGCCCTGGTGTCCCCTGGGAATTTTTTTGTTACAGTTTGTCCTTCGCCCTATACCCAGGGTGTTCCTGGCCTGCCAGTTCCTCATCAGACTCCTGGCCTTGTTCACAAGAACCCATGTCTTCCATTCAAAGAAAATAGAGAACTCACGCCTTGTTCACTTGCTCATCCAACAAGTCATTACTGAGCTCTTCCCACGCAGACTTGAGGACAGAGGACAGCGGGACAGAGTCACAGTCTCTGTGGGCCCTTTGTGGACCACCAGCCTCAACACACCCCTTGTGTCCACGGAATACCTCTCACCCCCCAAATTGCTGAACGTTCTCTGTAGGGGGTGATTCTGATTCCCAGGACACATTTAGAAATTTCTAGAGACATTTTCAGTTTTCACAACTTGGAGGGATGTGTTAGTGTGGAAGTGAAATGAAGGATAGAGGCTCAGGTTGTAAAAAAGTTAAGAGGCTATTAACACATACACACAGACATCCCCCCACCAAAGTTAGGAAATGCATAGGACAGGCCCATAACAAAGAATTCCATGGCCCAAGTGTCAACAGTGGGGAACCTTGGCCTCACTTTAATATTTGAGGAAGAAGCTAAACACTGGACTCACTTGTCCCTGGGCCCCAAAGGCCCTGTTTTCTATTCCAGGCACCCTTTTTTTTCTAGGGCAATGTGTTGAAATTTTTTGTCTTAGGTGCAATTGCCTAAAAGAAGAAATCTCGGCTTCCCACTTACTGCCATCTTTAGAAAAGACAGTACATTTTAAGAAACATTAACTTTCTAAAAAACAAACAAAAAAAAAAACCAAGCAAAAAACCCCAAACCTGTTTCCTGCTCCTAGCACTAAGGCTCCACCCTGGCTACACATTAGACTCCTGGGGTGGGGGGGCAGGGAGGGGGGCTAGATTCCTCTGGGCTAATAGGCCCCCACCCAGCTCAATTACTTAAGCACCCTTGGGGGAAACCCTCATATTAGAGTTTTAAAAAACCCTTCCAGGAGTGTTCTGATGTGCAGCTGGGATAGGGACCCGCATATTTACACTGAAAAGGCCTTTGAATTTTGAGCATATCACAGTTCAAGGTCTTGAAAACGCCATTCCAGGTAATGGTGCTGTCATCACCTTGACCTCAGGATCTCTTACTGAAGGAATGGCCAGGACCAGGGGTTCTCATTCAAGGGGCCCACGATCATTTAACACCCGCTTGCAGTCCGACCTCTAGCCTAAAGGGGGAGCAATATTAGCAAGGCGAAAAGGCCCTAGTTCTACTCACATGTTCATTGACCAATCTGGGCAGCACTGGCGTCAGGAGGTTTATGACCTTGTCTGCTAAGGTTCTGATCAGGAAAGAGATCCTATCAGAGAGGAGAAGGTGAGATATTAGGGAGGGTTAGAGATGATCACTGTCACCTACTGTATCAATGCCAGGGGAGGGGCGATTTTGCTGACAGTGGTACAGCCTGGAGAGATGGGGCTGAGCCAGGTGAGTGCAGAGCATGGTAGAGAGTCCCCAGGGCACAGAGCCTGGGCTTGCCTTTAGAGTTTGTGCTAGACACTGGTGTGAGGCCACTTGGGGTTCTCTCCATGTCCTGCTGAGGAGGGGTGGGGGAAAGCACCATATTCGGCAGCGTCTGCTCACACTGCGTCTGCTCAGCGCTTTGCCCCCGCCAAGTGCTGTGGCCTCCGTCTGATTTAACTTTGCCACCGAGGCCTGGAAGGTGCGCCTGGGAGGTGACCTGCCCAGTGTCACCTGACTGTCCGCGAAGGAGATGGGTTTTCCTGACGCCCGACATTTCCTAAGCAAGCTCTACCCGAGGCTGCCTGGGGGGCTGAGGAGCAGGAAGGAGGCTGCTTTCCATCTTCAAATGTCGTCCAGCTGCCGACGTGATGCCTGAAACCCCACTGTGGGCAGAACCGCGGCTGCGAGTGGCTATCTCACGCTGGGCGAGTCTGGTTCTGAAACAGGGCTTGCCTTAGGAGGGGACATTTCTATTTGGCGCTAAATCCTTGGCAGCGTTATGCTCTAGTTAGAAGACATCTTAGTGACCTACTAGAGAAGGTTAACCGGGCCAAGGACAAAGATGATGAATCCAAGGGGACTGCCGGGATCTCTGGTTTCTAGCTAGCTTGTTTAGTGACGGTGGCCATCATTTCTAGGTCTGTCTCCAGCGTCTGGCCTGGGACGCCTCCTTTTCATCTTTTCTATCTTTTTTTTTTTTTTTTTACAAAAGTTTATTTTTACATCATTTTGCACATTTTTTTTTCCATTTCAATTGTAATCCCCGCGGGTTTCCCATCACCAAATCACCCGTGTGCCACCACCATAGTCCCGTGTATTTCCCTCCCTTCCCCCCCATTTTTGATCCCATTTTTTCATCTTTTCTATCTTTATCCCCCATCACCACTGCTGCTGTTCGCCTTGGTGCCTTGAGCTCACTTTGGCATTACAGCTTCCCTGGAAGGAGCCCCAGGCCGAGAGTCAGGCGGGAGATACACGCTTCTTTCTCTGGCCTCAGGGTTCTCTGGTGCCACATGGACACGGCCGCCTGGCTCTCCCGTCAGGCCCAATGAGCAGTGGTCACACTCACTTCTGCAGCACGCCAATGTGCAGGCTGTCTTGCATGTTGAAGCAGTCTCTGAGGACGAGGTGGCTGCGGGCCTTGCCCCAGTTCTCCACGCGGATGGTGATCTGGACCTCTGACTCCATGCGTAGCTGCACTAAGGTCTTGACCAGGGGCCTGGGAGAGGAGGCGCTGTGAGCCCCCCCGGCCCCAGCTGGAGCAACCCTCAGTCCACCGTGTGTGTGACTCTCATGTCCCTTTTGGTGTCCGTGCTGGGTTCCCACTGCCCCCATTGTTACCCTAAAGTCTCCCAGGTTCGTTAGGATTCCTCTCCTAGTGAAAATCCCAGCAGGTGCGTCAACTGTCCAACCGAAACCTGAGTCCTTCCTCGAATGCCTCGCTGGCATCTCAGATGCAGCACAGGCAAAGCTGAACTCTGGATGTCTCCCCAGCCTGCTCCTCTCATGATCGTCTCCGTCTTTCTGCCTGCTCCCTCCTGCCATTGCACACCAGCGCTGGTTCCTCAGCCCCTTTGCCTCTCCTCCCCTCTCCCCACCCCTCCCTTCAAGGTTGGGGAAATCCTCTTGATTCCACCCGCCTCCAGGGCGTGTCGGAAAGCAGCCACTCTGCCACCGTCAGCCCACCGTCCAAGCTCTCATTGTCTCCTCTTGAATGACCGCAGTAGCTTGTGGATGGCCTCCGTCACCACCCTGCCTCCCCCACGCCCTGGTCTCATGCACACTAGCCAGAGGGATTCTGGAAAAACATTCAATCATGTCGCGTCCCTCCTCTGCCGGGAACTCTCCTTGGCTTTCATCTCAGCATCCTCATGCTCGTGCTGACCCACGGGCAGGGTGCAACCTGCCCCGGCTGCCTGCTGGCCTCACCTGCCACCACTGCCTCCTTTGCCCCCTTTGTTGAGCTTTGCGCAAGGCAGGTGCACTCTTGGCTCAGGCCCTTCGCACTCCAGCTTTCCCCCGCTGGAATTCTCTTTTCCGTACGTCTGTGTGGTGGGCAGTAAGCGGGAGAATCAGCCAAGGCTCACTGAGCCTGACAGAGGGGACACTCACGTGTTGAAGCTGGCTGTCATGTCCAGGGGGATCTTGACCACTAACTCCTGGTTGTTGACTGAAGGCTGCACCTGCAGCTGGAGGATATTAGCTGAAGTGACTTTTATCCTGGATGGGAGTGGCAGAGATGAGATTGATGAAGTCAGATTCATTTTAAGCTTCATCATTGCTGCTTTTCTGGGGCCAGGCATGACTAGACCTGCAGACTGCCTGACTCATCCCTGTATGCCGCTGGCCCCTCTTCCCCTCCACCCCACTCACCCGGCTCTCCTGTCCCCTCCCTTAGGACATGAACCCCAGCTCCCTGGGAGACTTGTCAGACCCTTGCTGTGGCCTGACCCCACTGGCCTCCCAGTCCTGGCCTTGGGCAGAGCACCGTCCCCACTGACCGACTGTCTCCCCTCTGGCCATTGTCCAGGCGGGTCCCTGTGCCCACAGAGCCATTTCCTCTCATCTCTTGGTGAGCATGGAGGCATGGGCTCAGCTGTCACCTCCACTGAGAGATACCACCTTGTCCTCTCACTCTCCCACCCTGGGTGGCTTTCCTCTGGGGTTGCTGCGATCTCCTTCTGACCACTGCTAAGCTCTGGGAACTGCGAGGGAGGGACTTGATTTGATCCATTCACCATGGTCAGTGCAGAATCAGTCCCAACGTATGCTCTTCACTGATCACTCGAACGTGACCTGGGCAGAGGTGTGCGCCTGAGTCACCTCCTAACTTGGTTCTGCGCCACCTACCAGACAATGTACTTCAGGACAAAGTTCACCATGTTGTTAAATGTAGGCATGACCCCAGCTGGCTTCTTTTGTATGGCGCTGAGCAGCGGCAGCTGCTGGAGAACGTTGCTAGCTTCATGGTCCCTCAGCTTCTGCATCAGCCCTGGAGGCAGATCCAGGATTAGAGACCAGCAAGAGGGGAAAGTGGGTGGTTGACCTGGCCCCAGGCAGGTAGTGTGGCATCTCAGGGCTGTGGGACCTAGACCAAGGTGAGGGGCAGGACGGCCCATCCTGACTGTCTTTGTTGTCAACAAGCCCTTGGGACAATCATTTTCACGTGAAGACTGAGGCTGGGGCCCTGCCAGTGTCTGCTGCAGTTGCCCAGACCACCTGGCACATGGAGCCTCACTGCAAACAGCTTCTGGAGTAGTAAGCACTGAGAATCCACAGGCAGGTTGCCCACAGGCCCCACTGGGGCTCTGGTGCTACACAAACATTTGCTAACAGTCCCTGGAATCACCAGCCTGTGGGCCCTTTGTCCAAGAGCCTCAGCTAGTGGCAGAGAAGGGAGGCAAAAGCCATGTTTTGGTCTGAGTTGGAACCACGGTGGCTCAGGGTGACACGCTTATATGATCACGGACCATGGAGAGCACAGACACCCCGAACCTTTATGGTTCATCCACTCAGATCTCATCCTAGCCTGGGATTCCAGTGTGCCTGGCACACCCCGAGTTGAGGGAGGTTCTGGTGTCCCTTGAAAGCCTGTTCCCCCCTGCCGCTGCCCTCCTGGTGCTGAGGCCTCTGGACCTGGGCTTACTTTCTTGGATGACTTCAGAGCTGAGGCTGAGAACTGCAGGAGGGTTCATGGTGGCTCCAGCCAAGGGAGCCGCCAGCAAGGTAGACAGGAGGGTGAGGGTCCACGGGACGGACATCTTCCTGGAGGCCAGTGAGCGCCAGAACCTGGAGTGAGCACAGAGCACCTGGTCGACCAGGCAGAGGGACCGAGGACAGGCCCAGCAAGCCTGGCGACTTGGGGCAGGGCGTCCTGGGAGGCCGCGCAGTGAAGAAGGTGAGAGAGTGGGCTCCAGGGTCCAACATTTGGACCTGTGTCCCCCTGTGCCACCCAGGCCTGGGGTCTGAGACAATGAAATTTGCTTCCCTGAGCCTCAGTTACCCACATGGAAAATGGGCAGAGTGGTCCTAGTGTGCAGAGCTGGTGAGGCCAGATGGGTAAGTCGCCCCAGGATCTCGAACAGGGCCTTCCCTGGGCAGTAGCTCTTTAACTCCCCGGTCAGCGCTCAACACGGGACACCGGTCTTGCGTCACCTGCGCCCCGTCACTGTGACACGTAGAACCAACCCTCCCAGGTCCCACCTCAGCCCACTTCCTTTCTGGCCTTCTCCATTCTCCTGTCTACCTGTCTGCTTTCTTGCTTTCAGCTCCCTTCTCTGCCTCCGCCCTTCAAGTCTGTCCACGTGCCATGCCCCTTTCTCTGTAAAGTGCCCTCTCTGGCAGATGGAGACCCTGAGGCACAATTCAAAAATGTTGCCTGGGGGCTGGTGTGTGCCCAGGACCAAGTGTTTGGAACCCAGGGAGATGAGAATGCAGCCGGGACTCAGAGTGATAGGAAGCTGTTGGCTTACCTGCAGACTGAGGGATTGGGGTGACCATCGGTGGCCAGCTGGCTGGAGCTGGCGGGGAGAAAAGCAGAGGGAGGGGGGGATCCTGCGGGCCCCATGGGAGACGGGCGTCTCTGTGCACTTGTAACTTCGTCCTGAGCAGCCAGCTTGCACCCTGACTGCCTCCAAGTCAGCATGCACAGGCCTGCGACTGTCCCGTGTGGAGTGAGGGAAGAGGCTGAGCCTACCAGAGACCTTGGCTGGTTCTGATGTGGGTTTCCTTATGCCAAGCACAAACCAGGCATCTGGATGCCTGTGTCTTCTTTAACCAGAACAGGGAGAGCTCTCAGAGACACTTGCAATAGGCTTCAATGTCGACATCCCTGGCTGGGTACAGGCCCCTGGAGGCGGGGTAGGGCAAGCCACTCCATACCCACCTCAGCAGCCAGCAGACCCTGGGGTCCCCTGGGGCCCTTGAGCAGTCAGTGCTTATGGAGTGAATGCATGGGAGCCCTGCGGGGTGGGAACCTGCCCTGCTAATGCGAGGAGGCATGGTCCAGCAGCCTCCTGTCCTGTCACGGGCCCCACCCCTGGGCACCAGGAGGCCTGAACGCCCAGGTCAAATCTCATGGGCCTGGGAGCAGAAACACTGGAGTTGGAAGCCAGTCTCTACCACTTGCTGTGAGACCTTGGGCAAGTAACTCACCCTGTCTGTGCCTCAACTTCCTCATGTATAACACAGGGAATAAAAACAACACTTTCGGGCCCTCCCTGGTGGCGCAGTGGGTTAAAGCACAGCACTGAGAAGCTAAAGCCACTTCCGCATGAGTTCGATTCCCGCCTGCCCCGGAGGTGACCACATGGCAAGGCAGACCTCTCCTGACCTGCCCGCTGCTCCCCTCAGCAGTGTACTTCGTCGATCTCCCTATTCTGCTCCTCTCTCTGTCTCTGGTGAATCACCTCACCCTCCACATCTCTGGCCTGTACCCCAGTTCCATATGAATAAATAAATCTTAAAAAAAACAAAAAACAAACAAAAAAAACACAACACTTTCACCACTGGACTGGTGGGAGAAGAGAAAGAGAAAGCCCACTGTTGGGCGGGCACGCAACAAGTGCCCGTGAACATAAGCTGTTGTCATGATTATGAGGTTGTCACTACTAATACTGGGGCAGAGGGAACCACCTGCGTCAAAGCAGAAGACAACGGTCAAACCCTGTGCCCTGTCTTAGTCCAGCACGTACCCACCCCCATGCCATGAGCTCTTAAAGCACCTTGACCCCAGTTCCCTCCCGTGTCTGGCACACCGCGCTGCCTTGCTGAACGGAGGCGCTCAGGGCCCAGAGGCTGGGAGCATCCCTTCCTGTGGACAAGTGGCTCCTCCCAGACCACATCCACCGCACTGTCTCTCACCCCGTCCTTAGCTTAGGCCCTTCCCTTTGCATGGCAGGTCTGTCTCCCTTCCTTTGTCCCGTCAACTTGTATTTCGCTTCTCAACCCAGATGTCACCTCCTACGGGAAGCCCTCCGGCACCATGTCCATCCCTGATCTCTCCTTGCTCAAAGTATGTCCCACATTGGTCCATGCCAAGTGATCCTGGGGGTCCAGGAATGTCTGGCATCAATCATGTCTTTGGCATCACCACCGCACAAGCAGGCCAGACAGCAGTGGGTGTGCTCGGCGGTGGAGGGTGGGGGTGAGGGGGCTTGGGGGGTGGGGTGACATCAATGGGATGAGATCAGGGAAGGACTCAGCCAGTCGGATCCCTGCTCCTTGGCTTCTGGGTGAGGACATCGGGCAGCTCTACGCTTCCTGCCCGTGACCCCTCGAGTCCTGGCAGATGTAGGCTCCTTACTCAGGCCCATCTTCCATCCTGTTTCTGCTCTGACCCCAGAACCTTCCTGGTGACCTAGGTATTTCACCCCCGTGTGCTTTACCTGAACCAGCAGGAGTCTTCAGCTCACACCTCTCCTCACCGGGCTTGGGGCTGGGAAGGCCGGCCTTATATGCTGCTCACCTCACTAGGTGCCACCTTTGCGTTTGGGCTCAGGTCTCCAAGGTAAATATTTGTGACTTCAGTGAACCCAGTCCTGCCCAGAGGAAGCTGTGGGGCTCCAGCTTCCTGAGGCTTGGAGAATGGAGGGTCTGGCCAACATGATGGCTGTGGGCTGAGTGAGCGGCCCATGGCAGGGACTGGACCGGACAGTGTGGCCTGACAAGGGTCCCTGCCTCCTGATAGCCACTCCCTTGGGAGGTGACAAGAACCTGAGGCTGCAGGAAGCACATGTGGGGGGCAGGTGTCCCCAGGCCCCATCAGCCATGTCTCTGGGACCATGTTCCCGTCCATCAGTCATGACCTGGCGTTTCCATGAAGGACGCAGCTTTATACGGTCAGAAATTCTGGCTGAGCCAGAACTGAACCCCAAACCTGACTGCCAAGCACACTGGGAGGTGGCCACAGCTTGGTGGACACCAGGGCCTGGAGCTGACTGAGTTCCAGCCCGCTCCACGCTGGGGAGTCAGGCACATTCACCAGCCTGTCAGTCTTGAGCACCACGTGTCCTCGCCCTTGTCTCCAGGTTAGTACTGGGGTCAGAGTCAATGTCCTCTGGGGCGATCTGGGGGGTCATCCTTAGTGTCCGACGGCAGTGGAGAATCTAGACTGGTCAGAGCGGGAAAGCCCTGCTGGGCCCGTCACCATGTGAGGGGGCATGTGAGGGAGAGAGGCCAGGAGATCACCCACGTGTGGCTGGGCCTGTGCTCATGCTATTCCCAGACATCGAGTTTCCCAAAGACCACCAATTCCGATGCAAAGCACACGAGGGTCTTTATTGCAAGCTCGAGCCTGGGCTCCCAACATGCACGACCCAGCGGCGGAAGTTGAGAGCCCCGAGCTCAGGGTTTTTTTTTTTTTTTTTTTTTTAAAGATTTATTTATTTGTGCATACAGAGCTGGGGTACAGGCCAGAGGCTCAGGGGCAGTGAGAGGCTTCACCAGAGACAGAGTGGGAAGCAGAACAGGCAGATCGACGAAGTACACTGCTGAGAGGAGCAGCGGGCGGGTCAGGAGAGGTCTGCCACGCCATGTGGTCACCTCCGGGGCAGGCGGGAATCGAACTCATGAGGAAGCGGCTTTAGATTCTCAGTGCTGCGCTTTAACCCGCTGCGCCACCAGGGAGGGCCCCGAGCTCAGGGTTTTTAATTACAGAAGAGGGGAGTTTCAGCCCAGCAGAGGGGAGTTCTAGCTCAGCAGGACATTGATTGGTGGACATTGAGCAAAGTTATCTTGTCTTAACCTGGTTGGTCTATGCATGTAAGATGTGGCCTTCGCTACTCGGCCTGATGCCTTAGGACATCTGGTGCTTTCCTGGTATGTCCTGGTTACCTGCCTACTTGCTAATTGGCTTTTGCTATGGGATGAGCAAGATTAGGACATTTACAGTTAAATTTGGCCTTGGCGCCTCGTTGATAACCGAACCTTAGGCCTGGCTGTTTCAGAAGCACGCTGAAGCCTGTTATGGGGTCAGTGTGGTCTTTCACTCAGCCTGCCCACCATCATCAGAGTCAAGCAAGCACATTTGCCCTCCTCCTGGGTTGCACACTGGAAAGCGCCTGCACGCCTGTGGGGAGAGGCTCCCAGGAAGGATGCTGGGTGTCCCTTGGGCACACCACAGGCAGGTAAAACCCTCTGGATAATGTCCTCCACACCTTCTGCCCACGGACAATGCCCCTCTGTGGTGGCCTGAGCCCAGTGCCAGCACCTGGTCCTGCATCAGCTCCTGCCTTTATCCCTGAGCACTCGCTGGCTCCACAGCATGACTGCACCTCCATGAGTCTGGCACGCTTGCACCCCGCGTCACCCTGGCCTGTTCTCAGTGCCACTCCGTGCCCTCTCAGACCGCTCAGGGCCTCTTTGTCTTGGCCCTGCCCTTCCCAGCCCAGCCCGGCGTGGGCTGCTTCCTCCTCCTGGGCTGTAGCCTCCACCTCCAAGTCCCCCTCCTTGCCCTGCGGGGGCAGCAAGTCATGGCTGGCCCTGCTCTCGGGTCATCAGCTCTGCAGCTGGGGGAATACTGCTTCTTCTCCATGACCTGCCACGTCCTCAGTGGTAACACATTTTGGGTATAACTTCAGAGAATTTAGCAAATGGTAAATATTATTAATACAAAGCACTAACATTAATTACCTTCAAGGCAGAATTCAGAAGAAATGTTCCCTGGCCATGCCCCTCTGGCCCCTAAAGTCCCCTCGCCCTTCTGGGCGCCTCTAAGCCACTAACTACTTATTCTCCTGGAACTTGTTTTCCCTGTGTCTTG